TGGCATATCAACAGCAATGTAGCTGCTACATTAACTTTAGCGCTTCCTAGTCTAAGATTAGTTGCGATGATGCACTTCATGGAAAATTAGAGTCAGTCATGTAGCATGTACTTGTTGCTTCATTGTTAATGAGATTTTGTTTAACATGGCGCATGCCCTGCTTAGTAATTAAATTTTGCAACAGGAGGTGGGCATGTTGTAGACAAATGTTAGCAAGGGGCATTAGGGAAGTGAGCAGTGTTCCTGGAAAAGATTCCCAGATGGATTTTCCTTCAGGTCTGCAGAGACAGAGAGAGAGAGAGAAGCTATTTTAAAAACCTCTTCTTTTTAGGGAACATTTGGCCGCGAGCCTTCGGCTGCCAAACCCGAAGAAGATCGCTATCTGAGAGCAGCCATTCAGGAATACGACAACATTGCCAAGCTAGGCCAGATCATGCGAGAAGGGCCCATCAAGGTATGTTCTATTATTCTCAGTCTCAGTTCAGTAAAATATTCAAGTTTGTGGCACTGCTTGGCCAGAGGACAGAACTCTCAGCACCATGTTTAGTCTGCAATCCAATCTTGGAATGCAGTTGTTTTGGGTAGTCACACAGAATGCACTATGTGGCAAGAATCCCATTTTAATGAGGATTATTATACAAGGTGTGATTCAAAAGGATTTATTAGAAGGTTTAAGGATAAATGTTTCAGCCATTATTATTACTATTATTTTTAATGGAGAGGATATCTGGATTTAGAGTAGCTTCTCATGGGGATTCCCTACACAGAGTAAGTTTCGGCACAACGTGGCCAAGGGCCCGAGTGTAATTTCTCCTGTTGCCCATTCCCTCCCTCCTTCCAGGGCTCTCTCTTAAAGGTAGTCTTGGATGATTACATGCGACTGAAGAGACTGCTTGCTCAGCGGATGGTGCATAAAGCCACCACCAGTCATGGGGACCAGTCCTCAGTCTCTGAGGTAGAATCTGCTTGTGCATGGGAGTTCTTGAAAATGCTTGTTGTGCCCTTTGGGATGTAGTGTTTGCTTTTCAGAACTGTAGCCTTCGGTATCGATTGTGTGGTGCTCACAGCTATTTCCCTCTGTAGCACAAGAGTGCAGGAGTTCAGTGAAACAGGCAGAAGGAGCCCCTCTCCACCACAGGACTGTGCAGCCTGTGTCTCGCTAGGTGTCGCTCCCATCAGCAGCCGCCAGCATTGCTAACGGTCAGGGAGGATGTGTTGCAGGCCAACTCTGCAGGGTCACAGGGGGCCCAGACCTGTTCTGCCCACACACGTCCCACTGAATTAGCTACTTTCTCTGTGTCCTAACTCCTCCTGGGCACTGAAAGTCTCATGCTAGGCATGTCTATTCATGTTCTTAGTGCAGTACTGCATTAATTTCAGTGCTAATTCATTCTTTAGGCCTCTGGTTTCCAACCAATGTGCCGTGGCACCCTAGGGTGCCTTGAATGATCAGGTCAGAGGTGCGGCGGGCAACAGTGGCTTCTGTTCCTCTTTCCTTCCCTCCCTCCTCTGATGCCCTCTTGTGTCCCAAAGGCTTGCACAGCTGTTTACTGCTGCTGCTGTGGCTATAAGTTCCACAGGTGCCTCTGGGAGGCATCTCTCTCTGGGGCAAGGGGGGGTGTCAGCTCAGAGAACAGCTGCCCAGAGGACTCGGGAGAGGAGAGGAGGCTTAAGGAACACTCCACAAGGGAGGGTGATTGAAAAAGGGTGAGAGACTGCCAGCTCTGCAGGCAAAGGGTGACATAACTGGACCCCTGACCCCACGGGGTGCCACAGAAAGAATGTCGTTGGTCAAGGGAGCCGTGGACTCAAAAAGGTTGAAAACCTCTGTTTTAGGCATTAGAATCCTTTGCCAACCACTGTGAAGTAATCAAACTTCCAAAAGGGGCATATATAGATAAGAGAAGAAAATCCTAGGTCAGTTATTCACAAAAGGAAAGTTGCAATTCTCTAATAAATGAGAACTTTGTAGGGGAGCTCGTAGACTCACAGCAATGAGGGATGAAGACAGTGCAATAAAAAAGTTCTAAAGGATGAAGGCATGAGACAGAGAGATGAAAAATAGGAGGACATGGTCTTTAAACATCAAGAACTGTAGCTGCAAGGATTTTTGTGGAAGAATTGGGGAGGGGGATAGTAACAGGACATTCCTTGCACATCAGTTTATGAAGGCTATAGTGAAACAGATAGCAATACACTGGGGAGAAACTACATGTTTAAGCACATTGGAAAAAGTTTACTTTGCTGGATTGTAGCCAGAGAATGAAGAACTTTCAGGGAGCACTTTGTTTCTCTTCTGTAATCTCTCTGTTTGCTTTATCATGCCCAGTAAGTTGAGCCAAGTGCACAGAAGTGGTGAACCGGTTAATGCTTTGTGCTTGATTGCAATCTTTGTCTAATCCAGTTTCCTTCTGCCTTTGCTTCTATTCGACCTGAACCTGGAGTTCTTAATACTCTCCAGCTAGCCAGGCTTCTTGGCATCCTTTCTTCCTGCTCTCCCATTGGTTAGACCCTCCTCAAAGCTCCTTGCCCACCTTATTAAAATCAGAAGCATAATGTACAACATTATACAGAAGTGCAGTATTAAATATCTGCTCTTTGTGGTTTGTTGATTTTATGGGATGTTTGGTGTCTCAGGCTGGCTCCCATCTAAGTAGCAGCCAAGCCTGAAGGCACTTCCCTTTGGAGACAGAACGATAGTTCAGCCTTCCAATCTACTCTGTGACATCTCACTGTGCAGAAACTGCCGCCTTTGCCTTATTAGGATTTTAAGACACGACTGTGCAAGAACCAATCCAAAAATATGTCTCAAGTTGTATATAATGAATGCATTTTATTCAGGGCCAATATTAAGCTCTTTGTAGGAAAGATCTAAAGTAGGCTTCCTCAAACTCAGCCCTCCAGATGTTTTTGGCCTACAACTCCCATGATCCCTAACTAGCAGAACCAGTGGTCAGGGATGATGGGAACTATAGTCTCAAAACATCTGGAGGGCCGAGTTTGAGGAAGCCTGATCTAAAGAGACTTATACATCAAACAAGACAGGAAAATGAATTTCCCAAATCAACATCTGGTTCCTCCCCCAGTGCAAAGAGTAAGGGCTTGGCAAGAGCCGTGCACTCCCCAGCAATGAAGACTTAAAGCCCTAAACCAGTGGACTCTTCTGAGGAGTGAGAGTTCCAGTATATGCAGAGAATTCCCTAGCCTGAAACAGCTTCTCCAGTCATTTCAATGGAGAATGAGGTTCCATGTGCATTTCAGTGCACATCAGTTACTTCCACTGGAATTAGCTAGGTCACCCAACTGCTTGAGTGTTACAAACAAAGGAATTTTGAGTGGGGTAATCAAACTCTAGATATAATCAGGGTCTTTAGGTTGAGAGGGGACCTTTATCCTGTTCCCAGATTCACTCAGGAAGCGAATGTAACTGCAGCTGAAAACAGCACTGCCTAAGCAACAGGGAGCACTACGATGTGTTGATTTCAACTTGGGTTTTGTTCCAGCTGATCCAGAACGACTTGGACGACGATGACGAGCAAAGGAGTCCAAGCCAAGGGAGCCTCCGCTTCCGACATAAGCAGCCCATTGAGCTCAAGGGACCTGATGGAATCCACGTGGTCCACGGGAGTACAGGTACTCTGCTAACCTCTGACCTCAACAGTCTTCCCGAGGATGACCAGAAGGTGCTGGGCCGCTCCTTGGAGACACTGACTGCCGACGGTGGGGCGTTCTGTGACAAGAACGCCCGCACCGAGTCCGCCAAATCCACCCCTATGCACAAAATGAGGGAAGTGATCATGGAGAGCCCACTGGAAATCACAGAGTTATGACTAGAAGTGGCATCGCTGGTGTAGCGCTCCGAGGAAGCCTGGCAACACGTAGACTGCCGCCGCTGCTGCCAGAGGAGAGCACTGACCAAGGGACAAGAGGGGCAGAAGAAAATCCAGAGGCCTCGGTCACTTGTGCCTGGCCACCACCTGTTCCAGAAGAAACCTGACCAAGACAGCTGTTAGGGCAGCCTTGGGGAGCCTAACCCCCAGGGTGAAGGTTCTCAGGACTGTTTGCTTCTACCAGGCACTCACATCATTAAACTCATAACTTTTTAAATTTTATTTTTAAAATATAAAGTGTTAAAAAGAGCAATGGGGAGGCCCTGAGGCACAGACTTAAGGCTAGAATTGCAATAACCACGGTGTGCCATGATGCCCCATCGGTGGAGATGACCAGGCTCTCCCAACAGGTCCTGGGTTGCATCCATTACATTCTTCCACCATCAGGCTAGTGGTGGTGGTGGGGATTGTGGTGATGGGAGAAGACGGCTGCTAACCAGCTGCAGCTAAGATGCTATGACCATCAACTCGCACAGAGCAAATTGTGTGATAACCTTCAGGAAGCTCCATAAATCTGTTTGGCATTTATCTGTGTTTTCACCTTTCCAGAAAGCAGGGGGTGGGGAGAAACTGAAGCCATTTCTTCATTTTGCTGGCCTACCAAAACACTGCAGCATCAAAAGAAACAAGAGTGATATTAATTGAGGTTCTGAACGTAGAGTGTTTTGTGTGTACTCCTTTTTTTCTTCTTCTTTTGATTTCAAACAGTAAAGTGTTGAGCGTTTTTGGAATAGTCTGTCAAAGGAACCAGAAATACATAATCCATGAATTTAGTTAATCTGTGTTTGATCTTTCCCTCCCAGCTTGGGCACAGGGTTCGGTGCTTGTTTGGGTTAAGTACACACTGCTGTAGGGGCTGAGGAATCAGAGTGGTCATTGTGCTCATCTATATACCAGCATGTACATTCTCTCTCCATAAAACTATCAAGAAGGGAAATGCTAAGTGTTTCTTATTCAGAAGTGTGTATATGATGCAATACACACACAGTGAAAGGTCTGCAGTTTGAATAAACTGTGCCCATTAAGCTAACCTTTAACATCACTCTGCTTTTTATTATTCAGATTTACAACAAGTCACTTTGTTTGCTTAACAAAAACCAAGAGTCAATGTCAAATTTGTAATAATTGTTTAATGTTTCTTAACTACAGAAGCATTGGTAAAATGCTCATTATAATGTCCTTTTGGAATAACTGGATAATTTCTCAGCATGTATATTGAACAGGTTCACACACAGGTAAGTATGGAACACAGGAGCTTCATTACTTATAACAGCTATGTAGACATGGGAATTGTGCCTTGTGAAAACAACAATTCACCTCTGCATCACTGTACCTGTTAAATTTTATCTTTTGCTTGCCAACCAATATGGCATCTGCATGGCTTTCAAGCATCATGCTCTCAGATGTTGCTCTAATTGCAAGCTGCAACAAGAGTCATTGGCTTTGGAATTGATATTTAGACACATTCTGATAAATGTCATATTGAGGTGTAGAGCAAAAGACGCTATTCTATATTATCCTGAGCACTTGCCGCTACTCCTGAAGAAAACACAATTAAAATTACTTGTTCCTTAGTTCATAGGTCAGCACTCAACCCACCTATTGGTAAGTAACAGCCATGGATTTATAGTCTAAAATTCAGTCTACCTAACTACACCAATCCAGCAAGGGAGTAAGCAAACCACTGATCATGCAAATTGTTTTGTGTCCTGTACCTATTTAACCATTTAATCAGCCTTTCATGCTGATTGTGATACATATCCCTTTAAGGACCCTAGCTGCTGCATTCAGAAAGAACAGGGTACATGTGTGTCTCCCAAATAGGAAAGGATGAACTGACACCAAGTTTAAGTTCTATAGGTAAAAGTACCCAAGAACTGCCTGTACTTAACATGAGCAAATGGGTAGCCCCTTTTTTTCGAGACTTTGTTTCTGTCTACACCAGAAATTTAAGAGAACTGAAATCCCTCCATATAATTAAAATTATTGTGCCAGTTGACCTGTCTTAAAGAAAATTCTAAGCATCTCCAGGTAAAAAGAATCTCAAATAACAAGACTGGGAAAATATATTTGTTTGAAGCAGTGCTGCTGCCAGAGTAGACAGTGGACTAAGTGGCCCAACAGTCTGATTGGCTGTTCCCAGCACCCCTTGAAGAAAAGCAATGAAATATTAAAACAGTTTAAATGTATAGTATAGTTGTACCTTAAAAGGCTAGCTAGACAAGGAAGGTATTGGAAATCTGAAAATGCCAACTTAAGCAGCCAGTTTTGCAATGATCGTAACACAATTTATCCATTTTAAAACAAGAGTCTTACCGAAATTCTCAGCTATTCAAATAAAATCCCACCACAGCCTTTTTCTTCCCTACCCATGTCACTTCCCCACCATGGATCTAAAAGTAAAACTAAATGTATGGTAATTCAGAGCATCACAAGCAAAGGAAACATTCCCCCTGCCTTTTTCTTTTTCAGCAGCCACACTGCAGAAGTGTGAAAGGAAGGTGTGGTTCTGCCAGTGTTTAGACATTTCACCATTTCCCACCTGGCCAAATTCCAGGGTGCATTCAGTAAAACCACAGCCAACATTCTTCCACTGGCAAGGCTTCCTCTAGTTCCATATATGGCGCTTGCAGTATTCAGTGGCCTATGGGGAAAAGAGAGGAAAACTCAAGGAAGGCCATGCTCCATTCATAGCACAACTCATAAGAAAATGGGCTTATATAGGAAAACGGAGGAACTTCTAAGATTTCCTATTCATCTTGCTGTCAACTAAGCTCACACCAGGGATCGGGAACCTGAAGCCCTTCAGATGCCATAAGATTCTGAACACAGAGACAGTGCCAATATAGCTACATACCTGGATGTGCATAATGGTGTTCATCCAGCCCCATTGATAAGGAGTGAATGCATATCCCTACTGCAGGATTGCTAGATCAATATACACAGCTACAGGTGGATAAGCGCCAGTATATTCACACGTAAGATGTTTTTAGAGCTTTACAGTTAAGCACTTGGAAGCAGAATGAGTTAATTTAATCCAACCTATCTGAGCTGTGTAACAGTGTATGTCAACTACTTATTACAACTGCACACAATATTTAAACATACTCCCCCAATCCTATATTCCACATCACTAATATGCACCTAGATCTTCTGTAGCACAGAGGATTTTCGTTTCAAAGACAATCGCCTTCCACAGAGTCATTTCACCTGCTCCTATTTGGTCATCGGGTCACATTCCCAGAACTGTATGCTGCAAAGAGTGCTCCCATTTTTAACTGTGTTCAATTACTTTTTTTATCAACTCCATCTCACTGTATTGGAAAACTTGATATTCCCCTGTTGCCACCACCCCTACTTACCTGGCACTGAGCTGCAGTCTCTGCATTCTTGCACCAGTAGCTAGGGCCCCGGACACAGACTTCCATGCCCACAAGGTGGGACGAGGGGCAGGCTCCTATTTTCTGTGGGACAGAAGAGTACAAAAAGGGACCATTACACCTATGCAGAATCTGCCTCCTTTCTTAACTGCTCCACGCTCCTTTTTAAGTTCCCCAAAGCCTCCTTCAACTTCACATTGCTCCCAACTTCTCAAAGCAGGTGGTAAGATTCAGGGTAGCTTTGCAGCAGGGATGGGCAACCTGTAGCTCTAGGGCTACCTGTGGCCCTCAGCAGGGTAGCCAAGTACACAATACCAAAAAGAGGGACACGGGTATGTGTAAAGTTTGCACATGCTCATTTATGTGGACGTTCAGAAGGAACCACTATAATTTAAAAAGAACTACGAGACGTATCACCATGGTGGGGGACATTGTGACCTGTGTTGCCTGCTCAGTCTTGCTAGCCAGGTGCTAACTGGGAGGGCAGCTTCAAGGTCCTTGCTGCTCTTCTTTCCTAGGTTTTCTTTTATAAAAAAAAAATGGGACTGGGCAGCCATTCAAATAGAGGACCCGTTTCAAAAAGAGGGCTGCCCTTTCTGTAAAGCAGGATACACAGCCAACCCAAATCTTCAGACTGATTTTCAAAAGGGCCATCTGCCAGCTATTTGACTTCTGGCAAGGATGATCGGCCCCTCCCCTGGAAGCTGGCTGTGCAAGAAGGGAGAGAAAAAAGTGGGTGGTAGAAGAGAGCGTGACATGGGGTTGTCCTACCCACCAAATTACCCCCAACAGGCGGGAAGGGGCTTTTCTGCCCCCTGTTTCACAGCAAGGATGCAATGCGTAGCCCCGTCCAGCAATCATCAGGACCAATGGTCAGGGATGATGGGAGCTGGAGTCCATCCACAGGTTACCCACCCCTGTTTTACAGGTTCAGTTTCCTTGTGAATAGTGAGACTACTGGATATTTATGGGATTTTTGTGGTTTTGTTATTTGCAAAGGAAATAACAGTGCAATCATATATGTCGTGTCAGAAGAAATATCCCAGGTAAACATATCCATTGGATTGCGGACAAAGCTGTTTGCCAGAGATCTCGCTCAAGAATGAACAATTACTTTAGAACATGACTTACAGCACACACAAAGGTTGGCTCCATGACCTGCACCAGGAGACGGACGGCAGCTGGCTCATATTGCACCACGAGTTGATCACACTGTAATAAAAAAAACAAGTTAAGTGACTCTCAGCCTTTCTCCTAGGTACAGCCCCCCAAGAGTGCAACTGGGTCTAAATCTTTTCTTTTCTGGATTTAATTGATTAAGCTGAATTTGCAGGGTTTCAGGACAGGTGGAATGCTCCCTAAGGAACCCCATTAGTCTTACCCAAGCCATCTTAATTTCTACAAAACTCCTAAACAGGCAGCTCTCTTTGGTTATGACTATGTCAAAAAATATTTGGAAGTTCTGCCCAAGAAGTAACTTCTGTATCTGCTTCAAAAAAGTTTTCTATGAGCAAAATTTGGTGGCACCTATAAAAAGGGAAGACAACATTTGCTTCAGATTCATTTCAAACTAGAAGTAATTAAAGAAGATAATATTTCTTCTGGCTTGCAGGATAAAGCTTCTATGTTGATAAACCAGTACAATTCCCACCACTTTTGGCAGGAAGACAAGGCAGAGATCTTCAGCTCCTTGACCTCCTCTCTCCTTTTAGAACACTTTGATCTCCCTTTCACAATAGCCATTTGGCGTACTTACGGGATACACCAAAGCTTCTGGCAGCAACTGGCAACCCTTAGAAAGCATATTTCCAATCTGTTCCTGCGTTTGATTCTTTTCCAGCTCTTGATCAACATATGTAACGATGAGTGTACACACATGGCAGACTTCACTTTCACTGGGTTTGGTTGGTTTCAGTCCTTCTTCCAGAGCTTCCCTCTCTGAGGAGAAACAAAGTTTGGGAGTTATCAACCTGGAAAGATTACTTTTTTATATATAATATTTTTTATTGCAAATTGTTATTACTCTTTTTACACTGAATGCCTCCTGAATGCAGCTCTTAACAAAAGTTAAAACTACCCATTAAAAACACAGAAGCAATGAAGCAATATAAATTACAACAAAAGAGAAACCAACTATAAAAACAGAAACTAGCAAAGGCAGATGGAAACGCACTATCCATTGAATGCTCAGGAGAACAAGATGGTTTTTTGTCTGGTGCCTAAAGGCTGAAGGTAGGTGGCAGCCACTTGTCTTTGGGAAGAGCATTCAATCATAATTGGGGTAACATGACAAGGCAGCCACATCTCTGGTCTAACCTCAGAATGTTAGAAGGCCTGACAAGAAATCTTGTAAGACCAGGCAAGTTGATATAGGAGTAGGTCATTGCAATTAACCCCAGCCCCACGCCCAGGCCACATACCATGACAGTGCAAGCAAATGCCATTACCTACCAAAGCTCAAAGAGATATCTCTGGGGCAAAGTCTAATCCTCATGCACACAGCTTCAGGTTTAGTTGCATCCAAGAGCATGTAGAGAATAGCCTTTCCATAGGAATCAACTAAGTCTTTGCATTGGTCCAGGATTTCATGGGGCAGTATATAGCAGACTTTCACCATCTGGTGGACTATTTCTTGCTGAAACATAAAAGCAGAAAGGTATGCTAAGGAGGAAGATGGAACTTATTCTGTAGTCGGTGCTAACAAGGAAGGAGATGTCAGTTACTGGCAGGAGCAAGCCAGCCAGCAGTAAATCACAACGGGCAGGTGAACTTAACTCTTTCTTAGAAAAACAGGATCTGCACAGGAGTGCCAGGCCTAATGAGCACAGCAACTCTTATTCAGTAGGCCTTGCCCCTATGAGGCAGTTTCAAGGACTGAAGGTCCCCACCTTCCCACAGCTGCCTAAGTCCTCTCCTCTCCAGTGTTTTCCCCCAAGCAATCTGAGACGACGCCTTTGTGAAACTAACTTCTCTTCCCTCTTCACACCTCTCCAGGTTTTGGGATACCAGATGGGAAGGGAGGTTGTCACACTAGGAGGCGTAGACCCCCATGCCTCTTCACCAGCCTGACATACTTCTGCTTCTTGGCCTCCCTCACGCCTCTCTCCCGCTTCAGCTTCTACCTCTGATTCTGGACGTCTCTGCCACAAATACCGTATTTTTTGCTCTATAAGACTCACTTTTTCCCTCCTAAAAAGTAAGGGGAAATATGTGTGTGCGTCTTATGGAGCGAATGCAGGCTGCGCAGCTATCCCAGAAGCCAGAACAGCAAGAGGGTTCGCTGCTTTCGCTGCGCAGTGATCCCTCTTGTTGTTCTGGCTTCTGAAATTCAGAATATTTTTTTTCTTGTTTTCCCCCTCCAAAAACTAGGTGCGTCTTATGGTCTGGTGCGTCTTACAGAGCGAAAAATGCGGTACTTCCTGCTCACTCAGCCTTGTTACCTCTTCAGCTTCTGACATCTCCCCCCCCCCCCCGTTTGCTCCCTCTGACCTCTCATTGTTGTCCCACCCCCAATCCCTGGGCTCTGAGCCTTCTTCCCTTGGGGGTTCCCCAGCTGGTCCCCCCCAAATTCCTCTGCATCAAACCAGTCCATGACCTCTATGAAAAGCAGGAGGAGAAGTTACTGTCGATCTTAGTAACTGAACCAAGGTGACCACAGCAAAGGAGATATGGGGTCCTTTTGAGTGTTGGGTAGAAGGAGGTCATTTTGACAGGTGCAGTTTCTCATGCACATGTAGGAAATGCTGCACCTGCATGAACTCCCTTTTCTGGTAATAAGAGACAAACTGAGACAGGCAGTTTCCTCAGTTGTTCCTCTCCTTCTATGCAGCCCTCTAATGTTTCAACTAGTCCCCTCCCAACCCATGTTTCCATATCAAGTGCTGATGAACAGCATCCTATAAGTTTGAAATGAGACCTTCATTCAACTTCTCATAATGAGGAAATCAAGAGTTTAGATTCCTGCATTGCAGGAGGTTGAACCAGATGATCTTTGGGGTCTCTTCCAACTCTACCATTCTACGATACTAGGCAGTGCTCTCACATCCCAACTTCCCTCGCAGTAGCAGTGGTGCAGGCCTACAAAAGTGGGGAAAACCTCCAAAGAGAGCCCCCTCCCAAACCCTCCGCCATCACCCGATAGATGACAATAGGTTTCCTCAGCCTTACTTCTGTGGCATTCTCCTCCATCATGCCCTCTGCAATGGTTACTATTTTCTTGCATAAACCACACGCAAACTCAGGGCTTTGGGCATTTGATGTTTTCTGCCAGATTAAAGAAAAGAACAACAAGAAGAAAAAATCAAGCACAACTTTCAAGGACAAGCAACAGTAGAATACTAAAACATTGTTAACTCAAGCTTAGCCAAAATAACATTTTCTGTGGAATGCAGCAAACCCCCTTTTTCAGTGATCACTTTGGAAAAGTGCGCAAAAAAACCCTGCCTATTCAAGGAAGCAATGCCTTCATTCTGAATCGACTTCATTTGCCTTCAGTGACATCAGCATGAAGCCAAACCTGACTGGCTACATAAGGCAGTGACATTGTCCAGTTCATGGAATGTTCTTATCTGTCTGGGATCAGCCATGTAGAACAAACTGTCCAAATTTTCAACCAGCATTCTTTTTACACTGAAATTGTGTCACATATGATTGACTACCTAATTTCATGATGTCACCCCATTCACGTAGTGATCCCTAGTTGGCTAGGATTCTCCATGTGACTACTTTGGGAACAAAAAAAGGTGCAGTAAACAGAAGGAAAACAAATTGTGCCAAAGCAGCAGCAAATGGGGGGAAACTGTACCAAAAAAGATGGAAAACATGCAGAAAAATCCCCAGAAAGGGCAGATATATCCCCAGAAAAGGCATGACTTTTCAAACTGCCACTTTAAAAATAATACGCGCAATTCATCTAAAATTTCCTGAATTCGCTGGGGAGCCTTTGCTTAAATATTTCCTATTGAAATCAATAGAATTTAAAAGTTGGATTGTGCCAGTTAAATTTGTGGGGTTGTCACAAAGACAGATGAGTCACAGTGAAGTAAATGAGAATATGCATTGCAGGAGGTTGGACTAGATGATCCTAGTGGTCCCTTCCAATTCTATGATTTCATGCCCATGCAAAGAATCTCCCAGACAGGGGCCACCCATTAACTCTTTTGCTAAGGATGTGCAGACCCTGGAAAAGGTACACTAATCTTATTAAAAACAATTGCAATTCTCCTGCTTTTCATCAGGGAGAGTTTCAAAATTCTGCATGAAGGTTGCTTTTGGCAAAATTCAGTGTCTCCCTAGTGTTGATGTGCAGGTTAACACTGCTAAAAATTCATATCGAAACTCATTTTTTGCCCTTTGATATTCCTCTGATGTTTGCCACGCAGGAGTCTCCAGAGCCTCATTGCATTTGACTTTAGGCACAAACAAATGCAGCAGCTACTCTGCAATGCTCTCAGCCTCTGCCTGCCCCCTGGCAGAGCAGGAGGGGGCTCTTTTGCTCTTACCTCTACAGATTCCGATACTGTAGACAAGTCATCAAGGGGTTTAGCTGGCAGTAATGCATGAAAAGGCTCAGGTTTTTCAGAGTCACAGAAGGCGCCACAGACAGTCTTTGATTGCTGAAAGGGGAGGAAAAAGTTCCATTGGACAACAAATCTCGTTTTCTCTTCCTACCATAAATTAACACGGAGCTACGGGAGGGTTGTGGATGTTGTCTGAGGGGAACGGGGGGAGGGGGGGATCCCACATCATACTGGACAAAACCCTCCCTTTGCTAAGGTTACCTATGCCTTCACATGCCGCAGGTGAATGAAGAAGGAAACTGTGATTGTGATATTTGTATGCACCCACCCACAACATCATTGGGCAAGTGTGGATAAACACACACCCTTGTCAGCACCAGCTAGATCTGTTTTCAAATGGAAATCTACAATGAGCTTTTATTTTCAGTATGAAACCAGTTTCACAAGAGGTGCTTTTCAGGAGCAAAAAATATGGAATAGCTTAGGGTTGCCATACGTCCGGATTTCCCCGGACATGTCCAGGATTTCAGTGATAGAATTAGCATCTGGGGGGGATTTTGGTAAATCGTCAAAATGTCCAGGTTTTTAAAAAGCTCAACAACTTTTTGTGTCTGGATTTTTACTTCTTGAAATATGGCAACCCTACAATAGTTCTAGAATGTATGTGGAGTGCATTCTGTAGAAAAAGCAAGGACTCTATTGATCCTAGAATAAAAGGTGTGTATGCAGCCTTAAGAGTGGCTGGGGAAACCCAGCCAGATGGATGGGGTATAAATAATAATTTTTTAAAATAAAATTATTATAAGCTTCACTTCTCCAGTTGGCATTAAAAGCAGGATATATAAAAACTGCCATTGTGATCAACCTCCCTCTCAACCTCCAAGTTCCCTTCTGTCAGGCAAAGGTGGTTTCAATTGTCCAACCCACAAATTATCAGCAACAGTTGACCTAGAAATGAAAAACATTCTCACGTACCTCCTCCTGTGATCAGCAAAAAATCAATCAAATTGTGAAGTGGGGAGGGGGGAGGGGGGGAGAAAACCAATAGTTAAAATCATGAGAAAAGAATTCAGAGAGTAAATCCTACAGACTGAACTAGCTAATCCACAAACTCGCCCACCTGATAGCATCATGTTGCAAAACTAGCTGTGTAAATTTTCCTTGTCCAACAACTCTGTTTAGTGTAACAGGTGCTTTCCATGGGCCTATTCATGCTATCATGAATTAGAAGGTGCAATTCTTCCACAAAGGCAAAGTCTCCCACTCCCAGAAGTCAAAGCAGAGCTGCTCTCAAACTTAAGACGTGAAATGAAGTATTTGCCATTCTGGATATGGCTTCATTGCCTGAATGATAATGTCTAGTCACACTGCTGCCTTGGGATAAAGGTCAGCAACTGGAACCCTCTGGGACAAATCTGGCCTCCAGAAGGGGGAGCATCCTGTCATATTAATCTCCCCACTCCTGGACAGCATTTGACAAACTAGGCTCTGGACTTCAAACCTTGTTCCCACTATGCATGTTAATTTTACCCAGATCTCCTGATACTTGTTTTCCTATGTCAGTATGTAATGCCTTATACAAAAAATGATCAATCACATGTCTAGAATATCATACAAGCCTGAATTCAGATATTACAATGCTTTTGCTGTTGTAAAATTGGCCCTGAAGTGATGATGCTTCTCTGCCTGGAAAAGGCTAGAGTGTAAATGTCTGTCTCAATCAACTTACCAATAGATGTGTCAGCAATCGGACAAAAACATGTGAATACTCAAAGGCATATTTCTTGCACTGTGGAGGGAAGGGGGCGGGGAGAGAAATAGCTTCAATAATTACTAACAAGATCAATCCATTAATTTCACCCACACCCAACTTGAAGAACTCCTTGCTATCTCCGGAGCATGCAAAATTCTCACGCCCCTTTTTGTTTCGAAATGCTCATAGGAGCAATCCTTTCAAACTTGATCAAAGATCTACAGTACAACAGAGGTACTGCCAGGACCAGTTGTTGCCTAAGACCAAGCACCTCGCCTTACTTAGTGACACAGAGCTCAGCAGGGCATTTTCTGCTTGGACTTCTTTCGTTCTTATGACTGAGGACTTATTTCAAACTACTGCTGGTCACACCAAGGAAAACTTATTCATATGAAATGACTTGCGGCTCGTGTCAGACTTAAATTGGGCTGCAGCTCCTATGCATACAATGCAGCCTTCACACAGGAACCAGCAACCTGATTTAAATGGAGATATCGGGTATTTCTAAGCCCTGATGGGTAAACTGTTCTTTCACAAACTCCACGTCACTTTTAAATCAGTTTGGGTGGAACGAAGTGAACCACTGACAGCTGAAATGGGGAACCTGTAGCCCTCCAAGTGTTGTCGGACATTCATTAGCCCCTAGGCAGCATGGTCTCAGTGGTCAAAGATGTGGAGAGTTTAGTCCAGCAGCAAGTTAGCCACTCCAAGTGTATAAGGATGGTTTGATTTCAAATGGCGTTCTAATTTAACCTGAATTGGAGAGCCAAAATATTATGTAATTACTCCTCTGCGACTTCAGATATATATATATATGCAAGGAAGGTCACTTCTTTCCCCAGTTAATCTGTTACAGTACTTGGAAAAGTTAAACGTGTGACCACAGGCTGAGGGACAACGTCTGAAACAAGACATAAGAAATATAGTTGTGTAGATCCATCCTTTCATTTTCAGATGACAGACACAGGTCCTGAATACACACACACACACACACACACACACACACACACACACACACATAATGTCTGTTTTTCAGAAGCCTATCCACTGATTTTTTTTCTCTAAAGAAAAACCCATTTAAGCAAAACTGGCACTGCTGTTCAAAAATACGTCCTCTTCCCTTTGTGGTGCTGTCAGTGAAAATCTCCAGGTAGGGAAGCTCCTCGTTGTTGCCAAACATATTCCATGTGTCTTTATTGGCACAATGGATATCTCCTTATCATTAGTGTGAAGCAATAAAATCCAGTTACCTCATTTACCAAGTCAGACCCCAGGTGTTCACAGTATTGTTCAGCATAAGCAGCAAAGGACTGGACAAGGAAAGAGCTGCTCTTGAAACCTTCCTTCATTTCAGCAATTACTTGTTGACAGTCTCTGCAAGGATTTTCTTCTTTCTGCTAGGGAATAATAATAATAATTAATAATTATTATTAATAATAATGATTTATTATTTATTTCCCAGCCACTCTAGGCGGCTTCCAACAAAATACCAAAATACAATAGTCTGTTAAACATTAAAAGCTTCCCTAAACACGGCTGCCTTCAGATGTCTTCTAAAAGTCTGGTGGTTGTTGTTCTCTTTGACATCTGGTGGGAGGGCGTTCCACAGGGCAGGGGCCACTACCAAGAAGGCCCTCAGCCTGGTTCCCTGTAACTTGGCTTCTCGCAGCAAGGGAACCTCCAGAAGGTCCTTGGCACTAGACCTCAGTGTCCAGGCAGAACGATGAGGGTGGAGATGTTCCTTCAGGTATACTGAACTGAGGCTGTTTAGGTCTTTAAAGGTCAGCACCAACACTTTGAATTGTGCTCGGAAACGTACTCAGAAAAAATGTTGGAGGGGAAAAAAATGAAGGATTGTTAAGACTGTGGCAGGGAGGGGAAAAGTTAAAATTCCACTCCGCTTCCCCAATCACCCCTAGCACACACCCACAAACACATGGGTAAGCTTTCAGAGGCTGCTCTGGCTTACCAATGTATTATTATTATTACTACTACTATTATTATTATTTTCCTCACAAAAGCGACCCACAAAAACAGTATAAACACTAAAATCAATTATAACAAACGCAACCAATAGGGTTGCCATACATCTGGAATTTCCCGGACATAGACAGAATACTGCAGTTGGAAGCAGTGTCTGGGCAGAAATCACAAATGTCCAGGAAAATACAGATATATGACAACCCATGTTGGCAGTGTCATTTTCTTCTTTAAAATAGCTGAAAAACTCAACAACTTTGGCCCAGAAAAGCTCAACTCTTATGTCCAGATTTTCACTTTTTGAAATATGGCAACCCTAATCCCCAAACACACCTGAACAGATTAAAAAAAAGCAGGTTTTTCTTACAGATCTCACATTAAAAGAGGCCACAAATACCTGGTAGTTGTTGTTCAAACTAAGATCTAAAAGCCCAGGGAATGCCATGTACATGAAAGTCATTAATGCAACTCATGCTACAACCAGTATGGCCCTCTGAGCATGCCTCAAAATCCTGTGCATGATTGCAAAACTCCTTGGAGTGCATTCTAAAGTCTGCACAAAAGGGTTGTCTATCCCAGAAGCAGTGTGACATCCCTGACTTATGCCCTGCTTCTGGCATGGAAGATAACTCCTTGAACTCCTTGGTGGTCAATTCCCTAGTCTTCCTGTAAGATGGGAGTGAGTCTCACCTATAGGCCAGGCCAAAATCCTCTATGAAGTAGGAGCCAGCTACAGTTTAACCCATGGGTAGGCAAACTAAGGCCCGGGGGCCGGATCCAGCCCAATCGCCTTCTCAATTCAGCCCGCAGACAGTCTGGGAATCCGCATGTTTTTACATGAGTAGAATGTGTCCTTTTATTTAAAATGCATCTCTGAGTTATTTGTGGGGCATAGGAATTTGTTCATTTCCCCCCCTTCAAAATATAGTCCGGCCCCCCCACAAGGTCTGAGGGACAGTGGACCGGCCCCCTGCTGAAAAAGTTTGCTGACCCCTGGTTTAACCTCTTTCCAAAATGCAATTGTCTTCCCCTGTGGTAGACATGTAATTCCGGTTCACAGATAGGCTGGTGTGTAGCTTATAGCCAAACTAGGCCTAATGGAGGCAGCCATGTTTGTTGCTCACACATCTGCCCTGATTTGTATACAAAACAGGATGTGTGTGTACATCTTTTTTTCACATCAGAAGCAGGGCAAAGGCTAAGAGCTTTTTTCCTTCCCTATTATAGCTCCCCTGTAGCCCATCACTTCAGGCATTTTTCTCCCAGCCTGCTACAAAAAAACAAAAAAACAGAAGTGGCTGAGCTGCGCTGGACAAAATGAGCCAAAAGCAATGATCTGTAAGGATGGAGGGGGAGGAATGTGTTGGGTAGGGCAACAGATTACTCACTGCCCTTTTAAAAGCTAAAATTACAGACTCAGCTCATCCCTTCTATGTTTTGCATCCACTCCTTCCTCCATGAGAAATAAACATTGTTATTTTGCTTCTTAGAGAAAGCTCTACTGATAACCTGCAGTCACACTGTCAGTCTTTTCCCTCAACTACTGTGTGCTGCTGAGGACAAATTTCTTAAAGCACAAACCCAGTAAACAGAAAACAAGGCAGTGGATGGACGACTGAGGGAGAAGTCATTAAACAAACAACAATTAAGCAAAACAGTTTAATTATCAAGGCTTCGTGGGAAGGACGCAGAAGAGAGCCTGGGGTTTTTCTATGTTTTTCCTACCACAGCACCTTTCATGGGAGCCAAGGCTTCTCTGTAGTGGCACCCAAGCTATGGAACAGTATGTTTCCCTTTGGTTCTGTGAGCTGCCCAGAGGACCTACGTTGATGGATGCCATATAAAAACTCAGTCAAATCAATAAAATAATGTGCCAATGTAAACAGGCTTCCTTCAAGCCACTTGTCCTCTCACTGTAAAAATGGATGAATAGATGGCGCAAGTGAGGCCTACGCACATTGCAAGCCCTTTGAAGGTTACACATTTGGCAGTGGAGATGTGGCCAAGCCTGAAGGACTCTCAAAAAACAAATTCTCCCCCTCAGAGAATTCTGGGCCCTGTGGTTTATTACAGGTTGCTGGGAATTGTAATCCTGTGATGAGTAAACTACACCGCCCAGAATGTTTTGAGGGGAAGAATGTGCTTTGAAGATAACATGTGTACACAGCCAATGCTAGAAGCAAGCTCTGTGAATCAAAATGGCATCCAGCTCACTCTAGCTGAAGTTGGCCGGGTGTCTCATGGTCTCTGGAGAGAAATTGTTCCTGGCTATCATGTGTGTGGCTGTTGGAACAAAGGGAGACAACTCCATCCAAGCTGAATTCCTTACCAGAAACTCAGTTTGGGGCTCATCCTGAGGATAGAGGAGAAGGGGCACGTTAGCTATAAAGGGAGCCAACATTTCGGGGAAATCCGTCATATCAGGCATTCCATTAGAACTGAATGGCTTCTGGAACTTCAGGGCTCCTTCCAAGGGTACCAGATGACTGCATAGCCTGAAGGCACCACATACTATTTCAGGCCTATCCTAGAAAGAGCAACAGAGAGAGAGAGAATATTGTCAGCCCTTAAAGTGGAGGAAAAGAAATAAAAACACTTGAAAACACTTGTGTTTTTGTCTGTTCCCTTAGGTCTGTCTTGCAGAATTACAAATGTACAGAGTCACTCATAGGAAAGTTTGTACTTGTTAGCTTCTTATTTTTTTAATACAGGGCCTTTTTTGTGACAGCACTCACATATATGACATACCAACACTTTTTTCTGCCTATGGCAGCCATTTTGGCTTTGGCACCCACAGCACTTTTTTCAATATATGTTTGGCTGTATAATTATAATTATTGTGTGGTTTTTATATTGCAACTTTATGTTGTGAACCACTCAGAGACCTGCGGGCATAGGGTAGCATACAATTTTTAATAGTAATAATGTATTGGCACCTATTTTTTTTACCCCCAAAATGCACTGGTTTAATATAATACAGGGTCCCTCACTTTGTTAGGGCTACAACAAGAGGCTGTTTATTGATGAACCAGCTAACACGCAACAACTTAGGAAAACAAACTTGTTGATAAATGATCTTTAATTGGGAGCAAGCAGTGAGGTGGCCTAGTTTGCTGGTGATACCAAATTGTTCAGGGTTATTAAAGCATAAGGATTACAAAAGGATCTCTGCAAACTGAGTGAATAGGCAGTAAAATGGCAAATGCAATTCAATGTAAATGTGTCTAAAATGATGCACTTTGGAGCAAAACTATCTGTCCAGCAACAAGAATTTGGGGTCAATAATAGATTGCTCAATGAATCTGTTGACGCAGTGTGTGGTGCCCATGAAAAAGGCAAATTCCATGCTGGGGTTCATTAGGAAAGGAATTGAAAATAAATCTGCTGAGATTGTAAACTTTTGTTCTTATGAAACTAACCATAAAAACAAGCTAAAGGGTGGAGTCTTGGCTCCAACCCATAATAATTGGAGACAATATTGGACTCTATAATAACTTCCTATTATATCGAGTGAGTGGTGGAAAATATTTACAATTCAACAAGTCTTAGTTTTTAATTAAGAATTCTTTCTGTTTAAAATGGTTGACTCGCAGAAGAAGAAGAAGAAAAGAAATAAAAACATGAGTCTGGTATAAAAGTATTTTCAGAACCAGTGTAAAAAAAAAAATCACTATGCTTTGAGTTAAACAAGAATGGAACTAAAAAGCTGGCCTGTGAAAACTAATATAAATAAAACCAACATTATACATAGTATAGATGCATCCTCAGAGAGGATCCCACACAGTGTGACTGGCTTGGATCTGGTCCGTGTAAGTCATGGTTGAAAGTGTCAGTACCAACAATATCTCAGTCTATTTACCTGCACTTGTTTTCCAAGTTGTACCAGAATGATAACTCCTGTGTCCACCATCTTCTTGCATTGGATTGACCAGTCCTGGAAAGGGAGATACTGGCAACCTTTCTCCAAAAATTGACTGATTCTTTCCTGAGGAAAATAAATAGAAGGAAGGAAGGAAGGAAGGAAGGAAGGAAGGAAGGAAGGAAGGAAGGAAGGAAGGAAGGAAAGAAAGAGGAGTATTATGAGATGGTTTTATACCAACTTGCAATATTTTCTGGAAGGGCTGCAGAAATTTATGGAAAGGGGTGGGGAGTCACACTTTGAATGAAGTCTCCATAAGTCCTGTAGCACAGAGAGGGTACCATCTCAGTCGAGAGCATTTTAGAATATAAGAAGAGCCTACTGAACAAGGCCAATGGCCCACATTATCCAGCATCCTGTTCTCACAGAGGCTACGCAGATGCCTGTGGGAAAATCCGCAATCAGGACCAGAGCACAACAATACAATTTATTTCCGGCAAATGGTATGCAGAAGCATTATTGCCTCTGACTGCAAAAGCAGAGCAGAGCTATCGTGGCTAGTTTGACTTTCAGAATTAAAAAAGTATGTTTGACTTTCAGATTTCAAAGGGCATTTCAGGGTAATTCAAAAGGCAAGCCTTCCCTCGCTTAATGCTATCCTCCCACGTGAACTATTGCAATGCTCTTTATGTGGGGCTGCCTTTGAAAACACTTCAGAAACTTCAATTAGTGCAGAATGCGGCTGCCCAGTTGTTGACAGGTTTGAGGGCAACAGATAATAAGACGCAAATTTTGTTTCAGCTATGTGGCCTGCCTGTATGTTTCTGAGCTTAATTCAAAATGCTGGTTTGGACTGATAAAGCTCTTCAAGGCTCAGGGCTCTAATATCTTTCCAGAATGCTGCTTCTGGTATGAACCTACCTGGACCCTTAGATATTTGTCTAAGGCCCTTCTTCAAGTCCCCACCTCTGAGGAAAGCTTGGAGGGTGGTGACAAGAGAAGGGTCTTTTCAGTGGTGGCCCCCATTCTGTGGAATGCACTCCCCTGAGAGAGACACATGTCAACCTTTGTTGACACATCTTTGGTGGCAGATGCAGACTTACTTTTCTACCTTGGATTTCAATAGACTGAGGTGATATTGTTTTGTTATTAGCTGCCAACGCTTCCTGTGATCATATGTGGGTTGCTTTTGTTTTGTTTTTATGGTGTAATATATTTTTTTGTTTTTAACAATGCTGTAAACTGCTTGGAGAGCTCTGGGTAACAAGCAACTAACAATTAATAGTAACAAAAACAAGAAGAAGAATATAATAATGATACGTTATGACATTATGGGCTCATACAGTCAAACAGAAATTGCAACACATCTAAAATACTTTCAGTTTATGCCTAGGGTTGCCAACATCTGAGCCATTCCCCACCACCAGGGTTTATTATTGGAAGGCAATGATAGACAATAATGTGTCTCTCCACACCTACTGATTTTTGAGAATTAGTCAAAGGCATAACAGACCAGGCTATTTGTGGCAGAGCCGGGGGGGGGGGGAGAGATAGTTCTGTGTTCTCAGTTGTTCACCAAATGAAGGATGGAAATCCTAGAATCCTCTCCGGAATACTTACATCTGTGGAATTGTCTTGCATGATCTTCGCCATCATTACTGTAACGAGCTTGCACATACCACACTTGAGACTTTTCTGAGAAAGAGAAGAAAGAAATATTTAAAAATATTATTATTATTATTATTATGTATCCCAATTCCATTGGCAGAATCCAGCTCAAGAACACCAACTAGTGCAGCATGAGGCTTCCCCCATCCTGCCCCGAATCGGCTCTAGGGGGTCAGGAGAACCCCAGAGTTGCCCACAGTGGGGAGGGATTGTCCCACGGAAACCATCGGAAGAGCACAACACTGAATTTGAATTCCTTGCCATATATTTGCCATGAAATCCATGAGACTAGTTTAGTCCTTGCATATCTACAATTCCCAGCACCCTGAACCAACTATAAAAAGGTAAAGGTATCCCTGACCATTAGGTCCAGTCGTGGACGACTTGGGGTTGCGCCCTCATCTCACTCTATAGGCCGAGGGAGCTGGTGTTTGTCCGCAGACAATTTTTCCGGGTCATGTGGCCAGCATGACTAAGCCGCTTCTGGCGAAACCAGAGCAGTTCACGGAAACACAGTTTACCTTCCCGCCGGAGCGGTACCTATTTATCTACTTGCACTTTGACGTGCTTTCGAACTGCTAGGTGGGCAGGAGCTGGGACCGAGCAATGGGAGCTCACCCCGTCACGGGGATTCAAACTGCTGACCTTCCGATCAGCAAGCCTGAGAGGCACAGTGGTTTAGACCACAGCGCCACCCCCGTCCCCAAACCAACTATAGTTCCCAGGATTCAGGTGTTTGTGTGTTTTGCATGTATGGTATGTACACAACTAGGTCAGTTGCACTTCATTCCCACTGAAATCAGCGGGACTTCAATTTGAGATGACCTCTTTCTATGGGGCTGGTTCAGGATCTAAATCAAGGCAGACCATTGCTTTACCTTGCTGTCTGACAGCAGCTATGTGGCCACTGACCCAAAGGTGCATGCAAGGGAATGTACCTAGACACTTATACAGGCAACACATACCCCTGAGCTGTATGGTGCCGCTAAATAAGGCATAGGTGCTAATTCCCTGGGGCCCTGGGTACCCAAGCACCCACAAAATTCCCCATGAAGAGGGCGGGCACCCACAAATTTCAGTGCAAGGGCCCTGCACACTTCATGGCACCCACAGCCCCAGACACCCACAGTCGCAGGGCCAAGCTGGCACTCCAAGGACAGAACCACACTTTACAAAGTGTGGCCCTGGTTGAAGCCCCACCAAACACTTCTCCAGCCTGCGCTTGTACAGCTTGCCCCTGTCCTGACACAAAGGCGTCTGGGCCCTACATTATGCAGTGGCTGGTGCAGGCAAAAAGAGCAGGGTAGACATATACAATCCATGACACAGGTAATTGGGTCAGTTGGCATGTATGTTCAGAGCAGGGTGGTTGCCGTTTATGGCGGTGGAAATGTCTTTAATGTAACATGGCAGTTCTGGCCTCAGTTCTGGCCTCAGTTCTCCTCGTGAAAGAAAGGAAGTGGAGCAAGGCCAGCTGACTGAGCAGCTGGTGCCGTCTAGAAATCCTCCGTTAAACTGGCATTTCCATTTCCACTCAAAAAAGAAAGTTGGGGGGGACCTAATATGGTTTTCATAGCCGTTTCAGTTTTGTTTTGTTTTTAGACACTGTGTTTAAGGGGCTATCTGGATGGTATTCTGCAATTGCAATGCAATGCAGCATCTGGAATCCTAAGAATGTCACCTTTCATTTAGAAGAGAAGCAAGTTTGTAGCCCATAATACAGGAGCGTGTGTTGGAGCTGGGCTGGAGGCCACAGGAGTGGAGGCAAGTGGTTTTGAACGTGTCTGAGGACAGAAGCCTGCAGAAAAGCTTATTCATCTAAAACAACTAAATAGGGAGGACAGCTAAGAGGGCTTGTTTATTTCTTTTGTAGCCACTGCCGTGCTTTCTTTCTGGTCAGGGGGCAACCTCATTACTCAGTGGGAGGTAAAGAGTTCTCTGTGCTTGTTCAGAGCACTTCATTTTTATTTTATTTTTATTTTTTTTATTAAAGATTCTCTTGTTTTACAGAAGTGTAATGTCTCTCATATTTTTTCCATGTAACATTTTTACAAATCCGTTTCATTTGTTGAGACTAAACATCTTTCAAGACAACAATGCCCATTTACACCACAAAGAACTCATAACCCACCTACTTTCAGCAGCCAGAAACACCATAACCAGACACTGGAGAGACCTGTCAGGAGTAAGCATGGACCAATGGTATCAAATAGTATGGGAAACAGCCCTACTAGGAAAATTAACCAATAAACTGAAACTGACACGGGGACAAACAGAGCACTTCATTTTTGTTATTCGTTCACACTGCATGTTTCTTGGATGAATCCTGTGATCCCCTGCTCAGATTAACCCTTGCATTGAAGGACATGAATGTTGGAGGTGGGCAGGGAGTGCATACTTTGCCGTCACATGGACTCACCACAGGGGTGTTGATCGCCAAAGTCCCATGACAGTGGTCCAAAGTCCCGCACTTCAGTGCTGTGGGGAAGTCCCGACACCATGTTTCCGGACCCTCTGCACACTCTTTCTCCCAAGACAGGGGGCCTGCAGCAGCTGCCCAAAAGAAGAACAGAAAGGTTAGCTTCCACCTACAAAGCGAAAAATGCCCTTTGACAGATTCTACCTACTATTTAAGCCATCTCGATTTGATTTTGAAAGATAAGTAAGCTGAGTTGAGGACCTGCCTACTAGCTCGGCCACTCAGAGGAAACAGCCTTGAAGAAATACTGCTACCACAAATGCCCATCTGTAAAATGGGAACAACAGTGATATGTGGCATCAAGCATGATAAAGTCTGAAAGGTTATCTATATAAACCTATGATCGTTAAACCACATACACAAATAATATACAGTGGTACCTCGGGTTACATAAGCTTCAGATTACATACGCTTTAGGTTACAGACTCCGCTAACCCAGAAATAGTACCTCGGGTTAAGAACTTTGCTTCAGGATGAGAACAGAAATCGTGCTCAGGCGGCGCAGCGGCAGCAGGAGGCCCCATTAGCTAAAGTGGTGCTTCAGGTTAAGAACAGTTTCAGGTTAAGAACGGACCTCCGGAAAGAATTAAGCACTTAACCTGAGGTACCACTGTATTTTGGATTTTTCACTGTTTTGGCCCTATGTCCAAAAGCTTATTTGCACGCTTTCATCTCAGCTTGTGCATTGGAAGTACTGTATTTCCTTTTCATAGAAAACCATGCTTTTCTTATCACTGCTGGAGCAAGACCAGTTTAACAAAAATGGACAGTCCTGCCGCTGAAGCCATCGTATCCTCTACGTGCCAGGAATAAACAATTTCAATATTTAATGCATAATTGTAGCACATGAAAACCATGCTGTGTCAGCAGCCTGTTGGGTCAGGCCTAGCCCAGCACATGTTCTCACAGTGTCCAGCCAGACGCCTATGGGAAGGCTACCAGCAGAACCAGAGCACAAGAGGCCTCTGTCCTCCTTCAGTTTCCAGAAAACAGTATTCAGAATCACTGCTGCCTCCAAGTATGGAGATAGAAAACAGCCAACAAGCTAAAGGCTAGCAGCCGTTGATAGACTTATCTTCTAATGAATGCCGTATCCTCCTCATAGCTGACAACAGTCACACCAGAATTAGGATTGTTCACACTGTGGTAAATGTGGCCATCTTGTTGCAATCACTTCAAATCACTTGGGACGTGTCTGTGCATAGCTATAGCCTTATTATAATACAACATTTACTACAGCCTGACCCAATGACCAGTGCTCAATTTGCAGGATGGGAATCATAGTCTGACAAAATCTGGGGAGCACCATGTTGCCTACGCCAGTTCTAAGTGCAGTATAGCCAAGTTGGTGAGCACAAAAGAGAGGGGAACCAGGACTATTCTGCCCACCCCAAGTGATTCGACCTCAGCCAGCCCTGGGGAACTGAAACTGGACCAACACAGAGTGTGTACTTTGAACAGAAACTCTGGTGAGCCCAGATGTCTACATCTCTATTTATATAGTATTTGCATTACATTGCAGAACCGAAAGCAGAAATATTCTAGCTATCGCTGCAACAGAGGTTTGCTCCACAGACATTAGCAAGTGATAATGCATATTTTTCCCATACCAGCCATCTTGGAACCTCAGGGTGGGTGGGGGGAGAGCTCTTTGGCCCACTGAACAGTGACCCAGGAGAAGCCCCCCTCCCTTGTTGTGGAGCCCCTGGAGACACAGATGGCAGCAACTTAGATGGGCTTCTGTTAGCCACCAAAAATGCCTTCCCCCTTGAGGGAAATTACTTCATACTCTCCAGTATTTTTAAGGTTCCCCTGCCCCCTGCATTTTGACTGCATTTTGTTAACCATTAGTCCAGGTATTTCACTGTATTGTTCTTCTAGGTTGAGCATAATTTCCAGTGTTGGAAACTGCCCTGAGATCACTATGAGCAATGAAGTGCAGTATGGAGATTTTGCAAATATAAAGAAACTAATGTTTAGCTCCACAGTTGTGAAAAGCTTCAACCACCACTGATTTCTGCAAATCAGGCCAGGGTTAAAAGCACAGAAGCAGGCCTTTGTGGTTAGTTGGCAACCAGGTTTAGGAAACATAATTCACAAACTGCTGCAACATCTCAGCTACATCTAGGAAATTATTTTGTTCTCTTCATGATCGCCATGGTAGGCCATTACTGTTAGCATCTTAGTATGTGACCAGTAGCGCCTGAAACTGTCATGTAAGTTTTGCCCTTGTTGTTGTTGTCTTTAAATAAGCACCCTCCCAAACTTTTTATCAGCCTAGTTCTTTTCTACTGTGATCTAAAGTTCTGAGATGTTATAACATTCAGTATTTCACCAAAAGCTTTTGTGTTTTACCATGTGCAGAATATCCCCTTAACTCAGCTTTCCCTAACCCCGTGGTGTCCTCCAGCTGTTTTGATCTACATTTCCCATGAATTGGGGATTGCCTGGGACTGAGGGAAGTTGGAGATCAGAACGGTTGGAGGGAAGCAAATTGGCAAAGGCTCAGGCTGCCTTAAGATCTTAAAATTTAAAATCTTGTTGAGGTTCTTCCTTTGACATCTCAAATGAGTTTTCCTTCCTACTATTCCTGCTCATATCAAACCCCACAATTACCACCATAGTCACATTATTCTGTTTGGTGTTGGGAGGAATGGGAATCACTGTTTGCTATTTATCAGCTTCTGTGTGCTGCTTCGTACAATGAATGAGGCAGAGACTTTTAACCCAGTAATTTCACATCTTCAAAGAGGTTCATGGGATTACTTCTCCTTATGCTGTGGGTATGCTTTAGATGTAGGGTGGATAGCTTTTAAGGCGGCTCTTCCAGCTGAGCCTTTAATAGCAACTCGGATGTGCTTGCGTTAGCTTGGTATTATTCTTCCCATTTAGGTGACCAACGAATGCACGTAGAGAGGATCTGTTTGCATTGTCCTGACAACCAGATCTGCACATTGCACAGATCTGATGTGCTGTTCATGCAGCAGTTCTGTACAGAAAATCAGATGAGCATCTAGAAGTCAACGGCAAGGACAGACAAGGTCATAACCCCAGCTTCCCCACTGTCAGCACCACCACTCTAAACATTGATAATCTGAATAGGGCTACTTTTTTATGTCCATGCTACTGGTTTCTACAAATCAAGTTGCTCCTAAGTTTTTTCCTCCCTGGACAGTTGACATTTATCTATATTCTGGATGCTACATCTCACCCAATTTTTTTTTTTTTTAAATCTACACCTACCACTATGGTAGTAAATTATTTATCCACATCATAGTTTTAATCTGCCTGTGTTGATCATAGCTCAAAGATACGGCTTGTCCACATTTGAGTATTATTTAGCTGTTAATCCACATTTCCCCCACTCGAATTAGACAGAGTAATCGACACCTGCACACGTTACAATTTTTATGCAAGGAGCAATTTTGGTCTTTGCTGCTCATACCAGTGAGTGTTCCCTTTTGTAAACATTTGTTTACAAATTTGTTGATTCAGTTATGCTAATTAAGTGCCAACTGAGAAGCACAGATAGCTGCATACGCACACACCCCTTGTGTATGTATGTATATATATATATATATATATATATATATATATATATATCAGCTCTACAAATGTGCAAAAGCACACATTCAGGAAACTGAATTTTGAGCAGCTCCTGGGAGACTGAAAAAGATATGAAAGCAATTGTAAATTCTGAGAGCACACATTTTGGATGCTACCCAATATATCTGGTATAGAATTTTTTAGCATGGTTTTCTTGTGCAGCGTTCTGGTTCTGGCAAATCTGAGGGATCCGAAGGTGGAGGGGTGGTCCTGTGCTCAGGAACACACCAGAAATAGTTACAACCACAGCAGGGAGAGGGGGAAGTTGTCGACATAGAAAGGGAAGTAGCAGAAAGGGGTGACTGATCCACCCACCATGCAGAACGGCAAAACCAATTACTTCCTACCCTGAGTGGAGCAATTTGGAGCCTTGTTTTCCTCAATTTATCAAATTATTCCCATATTGGGTAAACCTGAATTTACAAGTGGGAGAGTGCATTGAGATGGCGTTGTTTGAGGGAAACATCATTTGGACCAGGCAGATTAAATGGAAATGCAAAGAGCGGCGAACACACACAAGCCCATAGCTGTTTAGGGTGGGAATGAGGAACCTGTGGCTCACAATATATCATTGGACTCGCATTAATTCCAGTCAGCATTGCTATATGGGTCAGGGATGATGGGATGTCCTCCTTGCATTTGTCCAGCTGCAAGAGAGGGGTGTGGAGAAACCTGATCAGAGTTCTTCTGTGGATTTCAACATTCTTTACAGTGAGTCAGTAGCCCATTAACACTTTCTTTCTGCCACCCAGCTTCCGGAAATTTAATCTCCTTTATTTTTCCCCCTCCGCCCCTTTTTAATGTTAATCTGTCTTGGATCTCCAATTGCGTTAAGGAAAGCGCTCGCATGCCCATGCATGCTTCCCTCATATGCAAATATTCCTCTCTTCCCCCTTGCACACTTTTCTCATGTTCTTTGCCAGTTTGAACACGCACACTTCCCCTGGTGTTTGCACACGTGCATCAGACGGTTTTGCTTCTGTTTCCAACACACACAACTACACTTGTGCTCTCCCATCCTATTACTGTTTGTCCTCAGATGGCACTGACAACCTTGCGTGTAAAAACCACAGCCTGGTGCTGTCCCTCCTGCGTTGTTTTGCACACTTCTTTCATCATTCACCTTCTCAGGCAGAAGAGTATGGTGTTAGCCTATATCTGTCTTGCACTATTACACTTTTTCTAGTATACAGGGTGTACTTAGGGGTTGCCCACCCTGCCAAGGGTGCAGGCCAGGGGAACAAAAATATTGCACCTCTTCACTCTGGCTCAGAGTGGCTAGGAGGGAAAGCAGGGAGGGAGGGAGGGAGGAAGGGAAGCAGATAGACAGAGGAGGAGCAGAGCAGACCCCGATGACCACAGAGGAAGTCACCGGTGAAGCACAAAAGGAGATCAAGAGCAAACATTTTGAGCTTCTGGTTCACGGTCTCTCCCAGCTTTGGAGGTGACAAAACATGCCTTTCACGCGCAAATCTTTATGTATTTTACAACAATCTATGCATCCTTCACTTTGACTCCAGTGGGGAACAAGCCCCTG